TTATAGATAGATAGATAGATAGATTTGATAGATAGATAGATAGATAGATCGTCCAAAATAAACTGAGATAGATAGCTAGCTATATTAGATAGATAGATAATTAATCAAATGAATACAATGAGATAGATGAATCGAAGATAAATAGATAGATAGATAGATAAATAGATAGATAGATATTAACAGAGTAAGAGTTGCATGGAAAGCAGATAGATAGATAGATTGATAGATAGAGAGATAATCTAATACTTTAAAATAGATTGATAGATAGATAGATAGATAGATAGATAGATAGATAGATAGATAGATAGATAGATAGATATAGATAGATACTAGTGTTTTTGAGGGATGCGAAAGCAGATAGATAGATTGATAGATAGATAATGAATTAACTGAGATAGATAGATAGATAGATAGATAGATAGATAGATAGATAGATAGATAGATACTACCAAACTTTGAGAGATTCGAAAGCAGATAGATAGATAATTTTAAACTGAGATAGATAGATAGATAGATAGATAGATAATGAATAAAATGAGATAAATAGATAGATAGATAGATAGATAGATAGATAGATAGATAGATAGATATGAATAGACTGAGATAGATAGATAGATAGATAGATAGATAGATAGATAGATAGATAGATAGATAGATACTAACAGAGTGAGAGATGCGAAAGCAGATAGATAGATTGATAGATAGAGAGATAATGAATGAACTGAAATAGATAGATAGATAGATAGATAGATAGATAGATAGATAGATAGATAGATAGGCAGGCAGGCAGGCAGGCAGGCAGGCTCGACGTTGCTTAACTTCGGTGATTGTAGATTGTAAGAGTTGTTTTCGGGAGATAATAATGATTTACTGATTAAAAAAAAATGTCTCGTAATTAACCTTCAGCTGGGAAGGAAGGCATGGATTGCTACCTTTCTCAAGTCGGAAGTCGGCTATCCGACGGCCAGTTCCAAGCCGTGATCAATTTGACCACCAGCACAAGTCAAGCTTACAGTACCTGATATTTCCAATAGGTCACCCAACTAGTTATTCGGTGATTGTACGGGAACCGGTGTCTAAACACGATATGGCCGTAATGCTTGTAAAATCAGAAAGACCTTAATGATAAAAAAATTGTAAAGTTACAAAATCCCACATTTTAATTAAAATTATTTCTTTTCCCAGCTTAATTAAATAAAACTTAATTAATTGAAATTGATTGATTGATCTGTATTTTACGGTTTGTCAACCTCTTGCAAGTTATTTCTTTCTGCTTAATTTAGCACTGAGTAGGAGTTTTCTTTTCTTGTACACCTAATAACAGCATTTATTTTTTTAAAGTTTTCTCTTCATGAGGAAATACCCATATCCTGCTTGACTGTATTGGTGTGGCCTTTGGGATTGATTAGATTTTTTAAGGATTATCAACCTTTTGCAGTTTATCTAAAAAAAACTACAAAAAAAAAACATAAAATATTTTAGAATTTAGTGGGGTAAATAATAATGATTTATTGATACAAGCCATGCTATTTAACCCATAGCTGGAGGGAGAAGAGATGGATTCATACCTTTCCCAACGGTATTTGCGCGTGCGTGAATATAACGAACTCGACTGGAATTGAAACTCCGCTCTCCGATTAACAATTCCGAGCCATTATCCATCACACCTCCCGCACACCCGAGCTTTTTACATCTGGCATGCCCAATCGGTCACCCATCTAGTTACGGACTAAGATCGACGTTGCTTAATGTTGTGGATTCCGGGTTGAAATCCGGTACCAATAAATAACAAACGCCAGGAATGAATATAGGAAAATAAATGTATTAACGTAATAATACAAACTGGTAATGCAGGTTAGTAGTTCCAGTAGTGCGGGTTAGTAGCAAAATATATATATCCAGTCTTTGGTATTGAAGTATCGCTATATGACTTCTTACTGAGTCTACGTGCTCGCTCACTGTGACTCCTACAACGCTGTCACCTCACCCCTCACTCTTCCTGTTACCTACAACCTTTTACTCTGTCACTCTGGACTCGACTCGACTCTTCGGTCTTGCTCTGTCTTACTCTCGTCTTACTCTTGCAGTAGTATATGTATATACTGGGTGAGTCCATTTGTGTAAAAAGGGGTGGACCCCTCAACACTTTACTTCGGTGGTCGTACGTGATAAGGCCGTAAGCCCGTAGACTTTCAGAAGAATATTGAATAAAATATATGGATTCCATAAGAAAAGATGACTGACACGTAGAATTTGTTTGCAATTTCATTCAAGACATTGTTTTTTAGAAGACCATTGTTTTCACATTATAGAAGAAAAACCCATGTTTCAAGGAAACGACGTTGCTTAACACGTAGAATCGGTTTTCGTACGATAACCCATGTTTCAACGTAGTCTTTCAGAAGAATATTGAATAAAATATATGGATTCCATAAGAAAAGATGACTGACACGTAGAATTTGTTTGCAATTTCATTCAAGACATTGTTTTTCCATCTCGGTATAGACCAGGATCGACGTTGCTTAACTTCGGTGGTCGTACGATAACCCATGTTTCAACGTAGTCTTTCAGATGAATATTGAATAAAATATATGGATTCCATAAGAAAAGATGACTGACACGTAGAATTTGTTTGCAATTTCATTCAAGACATTGTTTTTCCATCTCGGTATAGACCAGGATCGACGTTGCTTAACTTCGGTGGTCGAAAAACGAAAACCCATGTTTCAACGTTGTTTTCAGAAGAATATTGAATAAAAATATATGGATTCCATAAGAAAAGATGACTGACACGTAGAATTTGTTTGCAATTTCATTCAAGACATTGTTTTTCCATCTCGGTATAGACCAGGATCGACGTTGCTTATTTTCGGTGGAAATGATAACCCATGTTTCAACGTAGTCTTTCAGATGAATATTGAATAAAATATATGGATTCCATAAAAACAGATAATAGACACATAGAATTTGTTTGCAATTTTATTTCAGATATTATTTCCCCGTTTAATGAGATAGATGAGGATAGCTTTTTTTCCAAAGGGAAATTTATTCTGGGAATCATTTCAGAGACACACACACACACAGACACACGTCTAACCAGGTGCACGCGCATGGGCTCCCCACATTAAACCGACCTTGTGTCACATCTCGTCACCGTCGGAGGATGAATAAATAACCACACATACACTCACACACACACACACAAAAACATGTCTATCATTTTCAATTTGACAGACTTGCACGTAGTTTGGCTTTCATCATACACATTACGAGAAAAAAAAACCTTGTTCGCTACGCTTAATGGATAAGTAAAAGGAATAGAATTTTTCTACATGTTCTCTTAGACACAGACGGGAACGATTTCGCCATGGAACACAAGAACTTTGGTCAGGAAGAGATGTCAAAAAGATATTGTGTCATTTAAAAATACCACAAATTAATCATTACAAATTGCCGGAAAGAAATCTGGAATGAATAAAAAAAAAAGGGATTCTGAAAGAGTTGATAATCAAAATCATTAGGAAAACTATGCTTTTGACTTAAATCATTGATTTCAGTGGTATAACATATATATATATATATATATATATATATAGTGTCATCCACACAGACAGATTGTTTCGCAGCTCGTTAGTGTGGGTAGACATCCGATCGCTTCAAGCCGAAACCCGACCGATTTGTTATTAAAAAGAGATTAATAAACCCAAGGCAAAGACTCGAGAATGACAGTATTTGCGTATTTATTTTTTCATAACCACGCCAGAGAGAAGTCAATCCAGAGTGGAGAGTCTTGCATTATCAGCAGTAATAGTGACTGTTTAAATTTTTCTCTCCACAGTGCTTGGACCGAATTATTATTTTCATATATATATATATATATATATATATATATATCATTCGCAGACAGTACTTTTTTTTTGTATCACAGCCCTCATGCGACTAGACAAACGAATGCCTTAATTCGGAAAATTTTATTTATTGATTTTCTCAGAATATAAACTAAATCATTAAATATTTTAAAAAAAAATTTTATATTGTGATGATTTAAAAATTAGCATGAAATATCTGGGAAAAAAAAAAAAGTAAAAAAGTAACTTTATTTTCTGTACTAATTTTACACACGCCTGTCTCTGATATTGAGCACTTTATCCCATATAAATATAGCACAACCTTAAGTCTATATTTTTCATATATATATATATATATATATATATATATATATATATATATATATGGGACACATCCGTTGGTTATATAATCCAACTGGATCCTAGTAATATAAAATTGAAAAACTGATCCAGTGAAAAAAAGCTCAATGTCATTATTATCACAGGGATATAAACTATAAAAACAAAATCCCAAATCGCCTAATATGGGGATGGGCATAGATCTATTTCAACCATCAGTTTTATTCAACCCCTGAGTTCGGGTCGGAATTATATATCTAACTTTGACAAACGTCGAAAAATTAGTACAGAAATTATACCTTTCAATGTTTCAGTCAGACGAAACATTGAGATAGTATTTACTTTTATATATATATATATATATATATATATATATATATATATATATAAATATATATATATAGAAAATGTCACACGAATACACTTTTAAGTTATTTATATACAAAAATAAACAAACGACTTCCATTAAAAATAATGCCAGAAAATAGACTGCCCACAATGCACCACTGACCCTTATATATAAATAGCTGAGAAAAATAACTAGATAAGGTGGCCTGACGATTGCATCTAGCATGAAACAGACTGTCCCTTCTATGTTGATATTATGTTCACTTAAATATTTACAAACGCTCTATCTTGATATTGATTCTTTATCCCATAAATATAGCACATCTTAAGACTATATTTTTCATATATATATATATATATATATATATATATATATATATATATATATATGGTAAAGTAAAAAATTGTTTTTACATAATCATAAGTGTATCCTAGTAATATGAAAATATTAGAACTGATCCACAAAAAGATTTTGATGTGTTTTGTTTTATATATATATATATATATATATATATATATATATATATATATATATATATATATATATATATATTATATATAAAAAATGACAATGTGTGTGTGTGTAAAATCAGGATTTTAAAATGGTGAGTTGTATAGCAAAAATGAAAACAGAATTTTATTCTACAACTTTTTTGGTGATTTGTTTTTGTTTAAATTAAAGATAATAACATTAAAAAAAGAATAGATGTAATCCGAAAAATGTTTTTAGAAATGTGTTATTGTTAATTGTAATAAATTTTGAGATTTGTGCGGGTCGCAACGCTGAGGTTGATTTTTAAATTTTAAGATTGTGCGTTTTGTACTAATATGGTAATAGGAGAATTATTTTGTACTGGTAGGTTTTTCAGTCAATGTGGCAAAACTAAATTGTTCAATAAATACAGAAATGTCACAGTTATTATCCGAAAGTTGCACGATATAGAAGATATATTTTTTTTTTTTTTTTCGGATTACAACTATATTTTCGTTGTCCTCTTATTACCGAGAAGTAAAAAAACAAGAACAAAATCTATTTCCATACCTGAGGATGTCTGTAGGAACAGACGAAAGCTTGTAAAAAAACTAAAAAAGACTTTATGCAACTGGAATTTATAAACAGGGATCATAACATTTATCTACATGTTCGGGGTTAATGTACTTTATTAAATTTGTTTGTGAAGATTTATTCTCGCCATTTAAATCATTAACTTCTATAACTGTTTTTTGTATGAATGATTCATGTAAATTGAACTGCACCGCATACTTGATATAGATATATATATAGATATATATAGAGAGAGAGAGAGAGATATAGAAAGATTTTATAGGAGTGAAATGAAAAAAACATTTATTGGTTAAATGATAAAAAAGCATTGTTTTCACTGATGTCACAAAAAAATTTATTTAATCATTTATTGATTATTGTAAAAAAAATTTCTTAAAACCAATGACCATTCTGGTGGACTTTTTTCATCTTCTTTTTTCACTAATTTATTCAAAAATGTATTTATATTTCGTCTTAAAAGAAACCTTTTGTTCTCGTCTCTCTCTAAATGTTTACTCCCATTTTTTCGTTTTCCTCCTGTATGTTCCTGACGACAATTTCGTCTGTCTACCTTTTCCAAAAATAACTTTTTCTATTGTCGCCCTTTTTTTTTCTTTCAACTCTCTCGTTCTCCCCTTTTGTTTCGTTTTGTGTTAACTATTTTCTTCGTCTGTCTGTGTCTCTTTCAAATGTCTCTTTGTCTCTGCAGATTAAACATAATATATCTCTCTTATTAAACCGTTTGAAAAATTTTTTTCTGACACGTGCTTTGAGGCACGTTGCTAAAGGCAATCTTTTGTTTCCATCTGAATCTATTATTGGCGCCGAAGAAAATTGAAATCAAACATATATAATTCAAAAAAAAAAAAAGAAAGAAAGAAAGAAAGAAAGAAAGAAAAAAAAGAAAAAATTTAAAAAATGAAAAGAAAAATTAAGACGACCGAATTAATGGCCTCAAGCGATCTCTTTGATGACTTACTATAACTCAAGTCCATCTTATTTCTTTTTTCAACAGCTAAAGGTTTCCTTTGCAAGGTTTTATTGGGCGAGACTACCAACTCACACTGAAAAGAAAACCCCCTTTAATTAGCATTAGGAACGTTTACTCTTTATTAAATCGATTCAAAAAAAATCGTGTACATCATGGATATGACGATAAACTACATCCGGCAGCAAGGGCCTCTGATCGGGAGGTTTTGAGAAACGTAGAAACACCTCATCCTTGTTGTTGCTCCAAGATCCGCCGTGACCATTGGTAGTAGCGCCTCTTAGGGTCTAGTCCTGGGTATGACGATAAACTACATCCGGCAGTAAAACCTCTGATCAGGAGGTATTCAGGAGCGTGTACCCACCTCTTAATTGCTGTTGTTCCAAGATTCACCCTGACCTGGGGTGGCAGCACCTGTTAGGGTTTAGTCCCGGGTATGACGATAAACTACATCAGCTAGAAAGGCCCCTGATCTGGAGGTTTTGGAAAGCCTTGGAACCAACTCTTAATTGCTTTTGTTCCCAGGTCCACCTTAACCCGGGATGGTAGCACCTATTAGGGTCACAGATATGGGCAAATATTTAACCCCTAAACTGGGGTCAAAAGTCTATGAAAGTATAAAGACAGATATTTAGAGTAAAAATACCAGTAATACATTT